TCAGGCAAGCACATGGCTGTGTCTCAGTGCGTTTAGGCATGTAAACTTGGTCAAGATGACCTGCTGAATTTCAAACTGGGCATCAAACAGGTGATTTAATGATTTTAAGTGATAGAATGGTTGGTGGTGCCAGATTTGCTCATCTGTTTTTCAGAAATTGCTCATCTACTGACATCTTCCTCCTCTCTGGGAGAGAATGCTTTATTGATGTCAAAGAAAAATGGCCAAACTGATTTACACCTCGGTTTCTGCTGCAACACTGGAGCGTTAGGGTCAGAATTCAGTGTAAACATGAAAGCGTGGCTCCATTCTGTATCGTTTCAAAGCGGGTAGTGGTGATGTTTATGGTGTGGGGAATAATTGCTTGGCATACTTAGAGCTGCAAGTTAATGTTGCTTGTTACAAATGTATCTAATTATCCCAAACTGGTTTCTAGAATGTCACAGTGAGTTTATGTAGGGGTGGGCGGTATAAACGGTATACGGTAGAAACGATATAAATTTGGCCAACGGTAGAGATTTTGACTATACCGCTCTACCGCGACAGCACATGTTGATGGTGTCATCCAGCTGCGCCTGTTTTGGTCAAAAGCATTGCAGCGGCTACAAACAACATCATCTGCAAATTATGCCGGGCGACAGTAATAGCATAGAGACGAAGCACTTTTGAAATATGGGGAAAGCCAAAAACTGCGCTTCCTCCACTTCTGTACGATTGATTCATTAGTGCTGAATTCTCTCGCAGCTGCTCTATTCCCATGTTGTTGCAGTATATTCTGCCATGCAATTGCATTTGTCCCTAACCACCAGAAACCCTCACGTGAACTTTTATCGAGTGGCAAAAAGTTTGTAGCACATTATTATTTACCAGCTAGTTTGACTTCAGTAACCCTTACAAAAGTCACTGCTGTTTAGTTTTCTGTCTTCATTTATGTTGGAAGTGATAGCAGAGCTGTACGTTTTAATTTTTTCAGAAATCTCTCAGTCAGAACATGGCTATATCATGTTTAGGTGGAAGCTAGCGAGCTAACTTCCTGCTAACTTCTAACTCCGTTAAATTTAATAAATTCTGTTTTCATGGATGCCTGGATGTTAAACTTAATTGTTACACCTGGTAAAGCAGCAACGCTGATCATTTTATTAAAGATGAAAGAATTTAGACAGTTTTTAACTACTCCGCAAGGCTCCTGACTACGGCAGCCGTAATGCTCCAACAATCCATCAAGCGGTGCGCCTTCATAGCTTACCAAAGTTGTACTAAAACATTTTTGACAAATTTCTGCGCGCCGTTTGCCACATAAAATCTGTTCACGGTCAGTAAGCACAACCAGAATTTATACATAAGGCACACTGTCGATTTTTGAGAAAGTTAAAGGATTTTAAGTGTGCCTTATAGTGTGTAAAATATGTTATACAGAAGAAAAGAATATATCGCGATATATATCGTTACCGCACATGCTTCAAATTATACCGTGATATGGATTTTAGGCCATATCACCCAGCCCTAAGTTCATACTCTCAAATGGCCTCCATAGTCACGAAATCCTTATTTAATACAGCACTTTTTGGATGTGGAATGGGAGCTTCTCATCATAGATGTGCAGCTGACAAATCTGCAGCAACTGTGAGATGTCATCATATCAATATGGGCCAAAATCTTTGAGGAATGTTTCTAGAACCTTGTTAAATCTATGCGACAAAGAACTAAGGCACTTCTGAAGGAAGTAGGAATCAAATGGTAAATGGCCTGTATTTGTATAGTGCTTTACTAGTCCCTAAGGACCCCAAAGCGCTTTACACATCCAGTCATCCACCCATTCACACACACATTCACACACTGGCGATGGCAAGCTACATTGTGGCCACAGCCACCCTGGGGCGCACTGACAGTACTAGCAGGTTGCAGCTAATAAAGTGTGTGGTGATGTACATCTACTATATGTCTAATGAGATGTATTCCTTCCCAAAAAGGGAAATTAACAATCATAATGTTTTGTGTATATTAAATCTTTATTTGTTCATCTTTTTATGCTTTCATGCTTGGGTGTTGTTTTGTGTTATAGCTTAAGAAAGAACAAAGCTCGAGAGTTGGGGTGAAAGAATTGCTTTTAGTCATAACAAACGTTAAAAATGAAAAATACAATTTTATTAACATGTATGTGTAAACATGCAATTACAAGATGTAATAACATTTGACACACACAAACAAAAAAAATTGAAAATGCACTACTAATGAAAGCTGCATTTATCCTTAACTTCCTGTGTTGTTAAATAATAGAAAATGTAAGATTGTGGTTCAAAAAAACCTGTGTACCTGTGTGAAATACAGCAATAAAAGGGTACATTGTGCTTTTAGGTGGTGGTGACCAACACTGTTCCCCATGAGGTCCAGAAGCTTCAGTGTCCAAAAATCAAAACCGTGGACGTCAGTATGATCCTGGCTGAGGCGATCAGACGCATCCACAATGGAGAATCCATGGCCTATCTGTTCCGCAACATTGCTATGGACGACTGAGGCAACACACACGTACATCTAGGCTACATCATTCATAAGCACATACACTGAGGACCAATCCAGTTTGCTTTAAGCTCGGCTTTTAAGCTGTTACAGTTTGTTTTCCTGCTAATCCTTAGAGAATAACTGACTCTGTGTACTGTATGTTACATATGAAACTCAGACTTTGCTTTATTTCTCATTTTTGTTAGACAGAAGAACTTTACACACTACTCAATGGTTTCACTTCGCTAATATGTCTTTCATACAGTCTGACAACATAAATGTCACAAATGATGTATCACGTGGACACTCTCATTACACTGTAGCGTTTGGCAAATAAAGCTGTTCTTCATGGGGCTTTTTTATGTTTATTTTTTATCTCTATTTATTTTTTTGATGCCATCTTGATTCAGAATGATAAATGCTAATAACTGGGTGGGGAAGTAAAGCGCTACACCACATCTGGCATTTTCATATACATTCATTTGTATTTTAGATGTGTGAAGATTTTTGTGGAACTGCCAGAAAACTACAGTAAAGCGGCTTCACACCTGAACTGAAACTCTCGGTAGCAGTTTCAGTCACTGTTCAGGCAGCTGTTTTTGTGAAGCATGGAAAAGCATGAAGTACCCACCTGCAGTTAGTTTACAGTACTTCATGATTAATACTTTTACAGTTGTCATATGTGATAACGCACAATACTTAGGAGGAAATGAAATGCAGTCCAGATAAGGAAGGGGAAAAATGATTTGTGGTTTTGGAGCCAGGCCGTTGAGATTTTCTTTTTTAAAATAAATTCTGCAAATAGAAATCTTTTGCAAGCATTGTAAAGTAAACTAGATGATCAGAATTTCAAGTTTAAAGCAGAAACTTTAATAGTGGATGCTGCTTTTTATTAATTAAAATTGAATATAATTTTCAGTTTACTTTTTTTCAACATATTTCAAGCAAAGGCAAATTTATAAGTGTGTTACTCATCGAAACATGACTCACAAATGAGTAAATATAGACATGTGGCAGGTTTTTTTTTTTTTTTTTTCTACAGAGGGACAAACGTTTAAATAACTACATTTTCACATGCGGACACCACGTAGACATTTCGTAATCTTTGTGTTTCTGTCCAAGACCCTGAACTTGTTCTAAACGCCTCAGAGTCACTTCAATCTGCTGAGGAGCTTTGACCAAGTCTAGGAGCAGAGACGTGTTATTGGAAAAAGTCAGAACTGTTTAAATAGTCACCAACCCAGTAAATCTGATCATGTAGCATCAGTAAAGCATTCTCAGTGGGATAATAAAATATGTACATGTATTCTAAAGAGCCTAAGCTATTCCTTGGTGTAAATTAAAGTACAACTCCATGTAACAAGATGACAAAAGCACACACCTGCATGACTGTGAAGCTGTTAGGCCTCCCTTCCTTCGCAAATGAGCAAGAGCAGAGTGCGGAAGAATGTTTAAATGTGGACTGAAAGAGGAACTGCCCACAAACGTTTACCAGGCCACTTCCTCAAATTAAAACAGGAAACTTTGTTCAGTCTAATCTGATTGGGGGGGGGGGGTGTTCGGACCAGAACTACAACTGTCTCCCAGTTGCATGTAGGGGAACCATGCACAGCTATTTCAGGAACTGCATAATGATCTGCGTTGTCACAGCTACACAGTAGTAATGCACAACTGTTCAGTATTCAAATGTTGTGATGCTAATGAAAGGCTTCATTTGTTTTGCTTAACTTTGTCTACCATTGCCTCAGGGGTGGAGACAGTAGTGCTGACCTTACTAACCTATGTTAAAGTTGCTAAAGTGCTAAAGTCATCTTAACACGTAGTTCCAGGAGACGTAAAGTCTTTTTTTTTTTTTTAATAGATTTGGCTGCAGGTGTTTTGGTGTCATACATAAAATCATTTTCCTCAATAGGCCTGCCTTAAATATGTCTGTTTTTAAAGGTTGTATTTAACCTGTATATAACCTTGTTTGCAGGTACCACAGTAAATATAGCGTACCCACATTGAGGCCTCAGTTAATGTAATGTGTGTTTTTCACCAGCAGATGGCAACAGAGGTCAGAAAATACTGTCAGGCGTGTGCAGTTAAGAAATTTAGAGCACAAGTTGTGCTAATCACAATTGCTTTTACCGAATGTTCTCATTTTTTATTTTGTTTAAATCACTTGTCACAAGAAAATGAGTAACAAGAACAGTGAATACTTAATTTTGTAATTTTATGACTGCCCATGCAAAGGGAATGGTAGAAGGAACATGCTGGGGCCTCACCCAAAACAAACAGTCTTTACGGTCCTATAATGTATGCATGGCATTAACAAAGAGATGCTTCTAAGCTTTACTGCATCATATTTAACCATCTCATATTATGTAATTATACCTTTCAGTTTAGCTTTTTGTGTTATAAGAGGGCTATAAGACTCCAAAACATGTTCTAGAAAATAATTTTTGCTGTAATAAGTCTTCTTTTTGGCTTCCAACTTTATGTATACACTACTTTTTATCAGCACGGTTTCTATTGTCTTTTTGCTTATTTTGTGACCTTATTACTACCTTATTCATTTGTAACCTCCTGACATCCTTTAATGTAAATAATAATTCTGGTGCTGTGGTTAACACTGTTGCATCACAGAATGAAAGCCCTGAGTTTAAATCCACTGGCCTGCTGGGGCATTTCAGTTTAAGATATGCATGAGCATTTTGAAATTGGCTGTAGCTGTGAATGGCTGTCTGTCGCTCTGTGTTAGCCTTGTGACAGGCTGGTGATTTGTCCAGGGTGTATGCCTATCATTCGCCCTATGAAAGCTGGTAAAGGGTCCAGCCCCTCTGAATTGCATGGGTGGAATAAAATTGACATTGTACTTCTTCACATACATATCAATGCTTATCTATTTTTCATGTCTTTAATTATATACCTAGGTATGTTTATTTACAGAAACGGAAACATTTTCACAAGTGTTGCTTTTCGCTTTTATTACACATTAAAGACACTATTCCACATACATTTGTTAAATAAACAGCTAAAAAATATATGAACACATGTGATGATAAAAAAATGAAATTTATAAAAACAAGCATTTTGAATGGCCACATCAAAATGAAAAGTGCATTTATATTTCCATTTGACCACAGTTTTTTTTAATACAAGGGTAATGTTATGCTTAGTAGAAAATCCCAGTTAAAAAAAATTCAAACAGTATCATGTGCTACAGGTGAATCACTAAGTTAAAAAAAAAAATTACATGAGATATACAACTTTTGCAGTGACCACACCTGATACATATATACACATACTTCCCCTTAGTAAACAAAGGATAGCAACAGTCCAGATAGCTTAACATGAGGAAATTCAATAGCTTTACAGTGATCTGAACACCAGCAGCATGTCACCAAATAAGCAACAACAACGTTACATCAAGTGAACATCTAATTCATTCTCTCCATTTTATTTTAGGTTCACAGATATTCATAAGGTAGCAGTCTGTTTAGGTTCGGTCTGTACTTATTTTCTTCTTCCTGAAGTGTTTTTTGTGTGTGTTTGTGTGTGTCCATAATCCCAGCCAGGCAGCTCTTATGATGTCCAGGTTTCTCTCTCGTTCTCTCTGTCCAGCACCACTGAGTTTCACAACATACCTTCCATATTCTCATCCACCCTGGCTTTTTGTGAATCAAAACACCATCTCCCCTCCTGTGACACTCACTATGACAAAATACAGCTGTTGGTCTTGTTCATGGGTGGCCGAAAATCGGTGTCTTTTGGAAAGGTCTCCCTGCGTCGACGTAGTGCGGGGCTGAGGCGGCTGGGAAGGTTTGCCTGTTGCAGGAGCTCCTTGAACACTTCAACGACATTGGAATTTTCCTTTGCTGAAGTTTCCACATAACTGTTGTTCCAGTCCATCTCTACAGTTGATAGCACATCCGCGTTGGACACTTGACGCTCCTCTTCTCTGTCCACCTTGTTTCCCACCACCACGATTGGTGTGTACTTGTCCTCTTTGATCTCAAGAATCTCATCTCGGAGGCTCTTGACAGCCTCCAGTGATTCTGGGTCATCCACAGCGTACACCAGTGCGAAGGCATCACTGCTTTGGATTGAGAGCTTGCGCATGGCGGGGAAGGAGTAGCTACCGCTGGTGTCCAGGATTTCCACGGTGACCTTGACCCCGCCAATGTCATATTCTTTACTGTGCAGCTCCTCCACAGTACGCCGATGTTTGGGTTCAAAGGTGTCTTGGAGAAAGCGTCTGATAAGGGCCGTCTTCCCCACGCCTGCTGCTCCCAGAAACACTAGGCGCACGTGTGTCTTCTCCTTCACCTCCAGAGACATGTCTTATTTTTCTTTCTTGGCCCAACTGAGAAAAGAAAATGTCCCAAAATGTGTCTTATTTAATACACTTGCAAATATTAAACCTGTCAGTAATCTTTAACCTAAATATTTTCTCAAGGAAATCTCTCCATGTGCAGTTTGAAAATTCTTGTTCCTGAGCTTCTTTCCCTTTTGTTTTTTCACCTGATAGTTTTTAAGCTCCCTGTCGAAGCTGCTTATTGGGTGCTTCACTGTGCCCTAAACCTACACACACTGCCTTTTATGCCTGTTTTGGTGAGAGAGCTCAGTGGCCCACCCCTGCGATTGCAGCCAATCAGCTCAAGGCAGCCTGTTGAAGTACAACATCTTGACAACCAATGATTTCAGAGTATGTAAATCAGTGTAAAGGGCCACTTCAGGCAGAGAAAGGAGGCGCTATATGAGAGTGGATACATGATAAGCATAGCATAGAAAATATTGTCTGAGTAGAGCCTGATTATTATTCCAAAGAGTCGCAGAGTACTTCAGTGGAAGGAAGTAGTACCTCAGGTTTGATAGTATAAGGAAAGAAATGCACACAAATAATCAGGTAATTTATTTCATTAAGCAGCATTTTGACATTTTCTTTGGTTGCAGCAGGATGGGCAGTTTTATCTTATCTGTTGTATTTATTCGTCATAGAGTTCATCTTGATTAGACATGGTCATCCAATATATGAACATAATTTCTGATGATAAAAGCTCTGTCTTATTCACCATAAATTGCTATCAGTAACTCATTTGCAATAAATAATATAAGAATGCATTCGTAGAATGATAAACAGCCATCTCAGGTGATGAATTCATGGTGCATACAAAACGCACCATGAATTTTTTGCAAAACCAAACATTGTCCATAAGATCATCTTTACTTAAAATGAACACAGGAATTGAAGGTCAGCTTTCAGGTAAGGTTATCGTTTGATTAGCAGCAGCTGCCATTGCATATAATAATTTGGAAGTTGAGATAATAAACAAAAATCAAGCAAACAAAAGAAATGTGACTTAAGCTCCTCAGCCTTTATTATTCACTAGTGTGGCTATTACTAGCAAGTATGCCTCTAGCTGTCTAAGAATTAATCCTGCCTGCTTTCAGTTTGTTCCTTGGGAGTGAATCAGACTTGTGAGCCTTTCTAAATTCCCCTCCAGGAGATTGACATCGTCTCACAGCCTACCTGGTTTGTTAAGTTACGCAGCAGCGTGGAAACACGGCAAGCTCTAGAAAACACTGCAACCTGTCCCAGCTGCTCATATTTTTAATATGCACTCGTTTGCTTTCATCTGGGGACTGCTGTGTCTGAGCTGAGCAACAGAGCAAAGCGCTGTGGGAATTCAGCTGTGGACTAAAACAATGGGAGGAAGTCTGTGCTGGGGAATTTAAATTTGTAGAAACGCAATTTCACAGCTTGATTTGATCGCTTTCAGACGAGTCAAAGGTAGTTCAGTTAAATCACAAGATAAACTGTATCCTGTTGTTAGGCTCAGGTTGCTTTGTACGCATTGGATTGTATTCTTAAGAATACATTTCAGTGCATTGATAGTTTCTGAAATTACAAGATTGTCAGCATAGCAGGTGTTACTTGCATAAACTTAAATAGTGGTCTTCTTCAGGCTTTTGTCCTTTACTTTGTGTAGTATTTCATTTTATTGCTATAGTTATTAGATACTGTGTACAGTGTGCACTGTGTGCTAAAATACATCAATGATATGATCACTGCATAAAATATTTAACTGAGCAACAGCATATAGTTGGAGCATAAAATAAAAATATATTTAAACTACCCCAATCTAGACAAAAAACTTACTTAAGCGCTGTCATTAAGCACAGCTTTACTGTAAGTGTTATTGCTTTGTTACTGTGGCTTCTTGTTACAAGCCTTATGTATTAGAAAATGCAGTGGAAATATGTAAATTAAAAGTGGACCTCACACAACGTGAAGCCCTGCCCATTAATAGTTAACAAAGTAAATGAAAAGTGGCCTTCCCATCTGTTGCCTCTGGATGTTTTTTTTTTGTGTACTTCATGTGCCATTATGTCTCACATCCCAGGCATTTTTCTATTTACGGTCACGTTGCCCCGTGGAGATGATAATGACCAGATGGCGTTGCCTGACGGACTGAAACGAATTCAGCTCTGATGTGTGTTAGCGCTGTTGTATACCATAGAACAACATAATGATTCCGTGGCTGTTCAGTCCAACGTGTTGATGTTTGTTTGATGCAGAAATAGCACTTTTGTTTTATCCTCCTGTCGTCTGAACGCTTTGATTTTTAGTTTACATGCAGTTTTCAGTGGCAGCTCAACAGGTTGCTTTGTTTCCACGAGCTGCGTCGTGACACTATTGTAATGAATGTGCCATTCTACTTCAGCTTATTTCCTTTTGTATGCATGCACAACCTTGCCCCAGTGGCAGTGGCACACAAAATTTATTGGAGTTACAGTTTGTTTGTTTTTTCCCTGTGCAACTAAAAGAAAACTAAGAAAAGATGCAGAAAAATGCTTAAAATATTCAAAGTAGTACACCTCTTTCTCTCTTTGTTGACATTGTCGTTCAAGGCTAATCGTGAAAATATTCTGTAACTGATGGACATCAACTGGAGCACCTCTTAGACAGGTCTATCAGTTTTTGTAAAGTGACATCTTTTTTGCATTTTTACCTCTGCACACGGAAATGGTGGATCAATAAAGGTTTAATTTGATCTGTAAATTTTTCCAAACTGCTTTGGAATTAGCCATTTTATATACAGTCCCCAATTTTCTGAGAGTCATTGTCAAAGTCTGTAATCAAGAAACAGCATCATGAAAGCAATTACACGGTTGACAATGTTCATCAACATGCTGATGTACTGGAGCAAAAACGTAACTGGCCAAAAACTTACTAAGACCTAAGTGTAGGTGAAGCTTGAACCAGTACTCGGGTGAATAACTGAAGTGCATTGGGACAAACACACACTTAGTCCAATTTCTTTTTTTCTTTTTTTTTAATCGCTCTTCTTTTAATTCCATTGTAGTTAATTAGAACTTTTTTTTAAGCAGGAAAAAGGTTAATATTAGTGTTACTAAAAAGAACAAAAATAAAACCTCTCAGGTACTTTTTGTTCAGATATCAGTCCCCGAACTGTCTTTTAGCCAAAGTCAATTATGATTAGTTTTACATCTTTATCTGAAACAGGGCTCCTTGAGGCTATGAGCCCCTTGTGTATTATTGAGAAGCATAGGCCCTGGCTGTGTGTATTGATAGAAAGTGGCCTGTGTCTTGGCCCCTCTGGCCTGATTGTCTGCACTCCTGTTGGAAATGCGTGCACTGCACTGCTGTCTTGTCAAGATGACATGAGATGATGGTCTTGCAATCTGACAGATGCCAAATATAAATGTTGCCCTATGTCATAGTTGACCTTGGCTGCTACTCATGCATCCTTTGCCTCTATATGTTCTTATATAAAGTGAGATGCTGTTGGAAAAGTCTGATCTTTCAATACTTTCTGTCATCCCTCCTGTTGCTGTGCTACTTGGCCCTAAGGCCATTTTTTTCCTACTAAAGAAGATATAAATCTTTAAAAGTGGATCGTCTTTAAAATATAATACGGCTCATTTGGACTATAATTGGCTCCAAATGAGCCAGTTGATGTCCAATGAGCCGTCGAACATTTATCAATAGACATTATGTTCTAAATAGCTTACTGTGGTAATTTTGTGCTTAGTCATATGCCATCCATCATAAACAGAACTGTGAAACTGGTTAAAGGTTTAAGTAGCACGGTTTATGCATGCTGATGATCATGATATTAATGCAGAGGGTTTGGTATTTTCCATGATTGCAGGTACTTGTCATGACAGCTTTCTGCTGTCACCATGAAATCTTTCCTCTGCAGCTGTAACACTGTGCTGATATTCTACTGTGCTGTGCAGTCAGAGTCGCACCTTGTTGAAGCAAATTGATTCGTGCATGTACAGTAGATGAGCAAATAGCAAGTAGTAAATGTTAATGGTAGAAATGATACCAACTTTATGGTCATGTTTTAACTTTATGGCCGCACAGCTGGCTTTGCCGCCCCTGTCATTTATTTCATGACTTCCTTAAATAGAAAGTAATCATCTGCCTTTTTTCTTTAGTATTTTCTGAGGAAAAAAGCTTTATTATTAAGGTGAAGTTATAAGCGTCTTGACGCATGCTCATCATCATCCAGGTAAGGAAATCTCAAAAAGTTGTCACTGTTCATCTAGGCGTCACTTGACTCCACGAAGAAGCCTCTTGGACGAGTGACGAAACATTTCTCCCACTCAAAATGCTACATCCAGATGAACAGAATCACCTTTTTGGGGTAAAGTTATAAGCACAACTAGCTGATGAAATCGTTTTTTAATTATATTTGACAATCAGGCTTGTTGTTTGTGCTCAAATATTGTAGCAGGCTATCCTCATTCAAGGACTGACAGGATGTCTCCCAGGATATTGTACGTCAACAGTCAAATCAACTGTATGGCTTGCCAACTACTATTAGGGTCATTGCATCTTTGTCAGTGTACAGATAGACATGCAGTGATAATGGTTATCACTACGTTCCACTGGTGTCTCATTCATGGCAAACACATCAGGACAGATTATTATGCACATATTTATCTATGTCCTTTGGCATAGCTAATGATAGTGTTATAATGGTAAGTTAAATTATCATAATGTAATATGTGTCTGAGTCATTTTAATTTTTGGGATTACTCCAGTATCTGTCTACTGATTTTGATTTTAAGGGATGAATGTGCTGGTATTGTGATTTTTGTTATTAATAAATGCTGCTAAAGCGCTCCAAGTACTTTTTCTGCTGATGGGGTGGGCATACATCACCCTGCTGCTGTAAATACTCACTAAAGCTTGAGTAATTTACATCAGTTTAGTCATATGTCACATGTTGACCAAAGTGCTGCAGAGCAAGTAAAATATCAGATAGTTAAATAATACAAATAATTGATAATAATAATAATAATAATGATAATCCAGTCTGGATGTAATAAAAGCCTGAATGACCTTCTCAAGGTTGCTAATAGAGAGAAATGTTTTAATGTTTTAACTTTAGTTTAACGTCTTAGCTGAAAGTCACTGGCTTTAACAGCTGATTTGATCTATAAGTCAAATTGAAAAAAGAAACAAAGATGACACCAAAACTGGGGATGTATGGGAAATGTAGCTGTCTGTTGGATAAATCACAAAGGTTATAGTTTTTAGGGAATTGTTTAAATCTGAATATAAAACAATCTATTGAAATTTTTTTTTTAACGTTCTCTGGAACCATGACAGAA